TACATGGGATTAATGAATGATAATTACTTTTATCTTTGTTAATATGCCTCATTTACCATCATTATTAGATGCATACACACATATATGATGTTTATAAGCCACAAAGTACTCGCAACTATTTCACAGCCTGTCATCAGTGCAAGCTGGCAAAAATGCATGAGGCTCAAATCCTAACCAAAGTTCAAAAAGCTAAAATGAAATTGTTTCGCCAAAACGTCTTACCTAAAAAGAATTTCTGATCATGTGCTGTGAAGAAACCCTATCACATTGCTTAAGTCTATTACATACCACATACAGGCCCACATGAAATTTAGCTTTTTTTCTCTTTCTGATGGAGTCCTGTCCTCGGCAGGTTATATCTAGGGACGTCATTTAAATTTGTTTAGAAGTGGTCCAAGGGTCAAAGGCCTCAAAATGTAATGACAAGAAATAATTAATCGATTTAAATCAGCAGTGTCAACATTTTTAAAATACATATAATTTACACCCCCTTTGCCTCTCCGGGTTATTTTTACTTAGCATAGAATTAGCAATACTCAAAATTTCAGACGGTATATAAAATCTTAAGAAGTCGCCAAATAAACTTTGTATACATTTTTACCGCCGATTCCCAAAGAAAAAAGACTAGAATATAAGCATCCATGAATCTTTAAAGTTCGTAATCCCACCACTTCCATTATAATGAGTGCTGGCGTCGTTAAAGCTAATTCAATCCATGAACATCCCTGTTCAAAGTGAAAGATTTCTGTGACTTCGAAAGGCAAGTAATGATACTTTTCATTTTGATTATTCTTAATGTATTCATGTGGCAATATAATTTTTTCTCATTATTGTAGTCGCTTAATTAACAAGCTATAATTAATTTTATTGTATAATATGTTTGGCTAGGCCTAGAACATAGGTCATGTTGATGCCAGTCTGATCTTACCTAGCTAGCCTCCAGTAGAGGCATGGTATGCATCCGACGGCCTGCGTCTCGGCCTAAATACAAAACTACAAAAACTTAACTGAATGCCTTCTAATTCTACAAGGCCTAGGTAGTAGGTAAAAGTACTGTAATTTAAAACAATAGCTCGGTAAAAAAAGTAAAAAGTAATTTTAAAAGACTTAATTAATATGTACATGAAGTATTGAACCAGGCTAGCCTAGACTTGTAGTTTGTGCTTAATTATAACATAATTATAAATTATATGGTAAATTTATTAAGGCTTATCTATGATACATCACATAACTTCATTTTCACAAATATTTTTTTAATTTCTTTTACATTTCAAGGATTTGAAGCACAAGTCAGCAGCAAGATGACGAGTATGCCATTAATCACCAAAAAGAGAATCCACCGGCCTTGCGAAGGAAAACAAGGCAAAACAATGCATGTTCAGCTGACCTATGGCAAGTTTTTAATAGATCATTATGAGATTTCATACCGTAACCCAGTTGCTCAACATCTAATCATATATTTGATTTTGCCCTATCCGCATGGTTGCAGTTGTATAAGGTTGATACTGACTTTACGTCCTTATCAGGTGAAGTGTGGCGTTAAAGGTGCATGTATTATGTGTAAAGTTACTCGACACTTTTCTATTATTTTTGTATTTATGAAATACATTTTTTATATATTATTAATTATTATTATTATTATTATTATTATTATTATTATTTACATTTCAATTTTTTGTATAAAATTGGGACAGCATATTGTGAGATATAAGGACAAAATCTATTTAAAACATCCAAAATCTGCATTTTGCTTTTGCAATTTATCCGCCAAACAAGGCTTAGCATCATTGGGCCTCAGGTGGCAAGTCCATCAATAGGGCTTGCACGTCGTCTGTCCTGGTTCCAATCCTCCAGCCAGAATTTGACCGATGGTCGATCTGCTCAAGCCGGTCAGCGGTCGATCTGCTCCAGTCGGCCTGGCCTAGCCCAATGAACCGATCGAACCATTCGCTCTAGTTAGCTTTGCCAGTCGCGACCGACAAAATACGTTCTAAAATCTGCATCTTCTGATCGGCACTAAATTCGAGGAGGACCGAAATAAATGTAATATTTTCAATGAGGTAGTATGTCACTGGTTCTGATTTAAAATCTGCCAAATGTTTTACCTATTGCGAACTCCAGCGTGGCAGACGGGACAAATGACATTATTATTTTTTGAAAGTCTGTAGAAAAAAAATGTTTACATGGCATATATGCCATGTAAAAATTTTTTTTCTATAGCCTAAAATGTTTTTCCCAAGTCAAAGGTTTTACGTCACATCTCATTCAACCTGATGAAGTCTTGCTGAGAACGCCGAAAGTAGTGTAGCTTAAATATCAACTCTTTGTTTAAAAATATATATATATTTAATATATATGATATTTATATATTACAGTAATATAAAGCAATAAGTGATTATACTACTATGATACTATTCTATTAACTGATAATGTGATCATGTTACAGTATAGTAAACATTAATTAAACTATTGGCTAAGATATATCATGTTTGATTTGCTTTAATTGTGAAGTTTTGTCTGTATTATTAAGCTATTAGCACTGTTTTCATTCGACGGACAAGCAAGCATTCTAAGTTCACAAAAAAACTCTCCTGCAAGAAGTATTCTCAACTCTTTTATTTGTTGTAGTAATCAAACACAAGATATATTTGATAATAGGACCACAAATTACAAAGGTCGTTAGTAAATCTACTACGCATAAGAGGTTTGCTGACGCCAACTGTCAGAAATGCAAATTGGTGTAAATGAGAATCGGTTCGTCGAGTATCATAACCCATGCCAAATATTTTTAAAATAACTAAAACTCAATTCTTGTTCTTAATAGTATTTTTTATACCCCATAGGCATTACCATCAGTAAAACCAAACACGTTAACGCATGTGTTTGAACAACAAAAGTTTCTAGCCTTGGAACATTAAAAAAAAAATGGAAATGCTTTTGGTGAATCGTTTGAGGAGTACATAATAGAGTTGGAAGTCATCATTACTAAGGCATACCCACATTATAAATCAGTAATTGACGAAGTAAGTGAGACTTTGTTGTCAATGGCTCAGCTTTTCACTTTTAAATAAAATGCCAATGAGCAATCGACCAATAATCGGAACAGCGGTGTTCCCGTGCTGTTCATAACTTTTGTTGTATAAGTTGATGAAGAAATTTGTTCATGTATTTCAATGTTTTTTTTGTGTCTGACCTACCTGTAACCAGCTTAAAATGCTCTAGAAGTTGATTTCCCTGTTATTTATAGTTCAGGGGCTCCGAAACCCCCTCCCGCACCTCAATTTATACCTGTCATTATTTTTTTCAGTTACCTTTATGTATAATCTTTAAGAAACAACTTGTTAGTCAAGCGTTTCCTGGTTGCTAGTGCATGTAAACCAACATCATATCTGAGTACCTTTTTTGTTCAATATTAGGATTGATATGTGGTGGGGGTGACATTTTTCCCCACAAATTAACTGAATATATTTTCTTGTTTTGGTATCAAAGTCTAGAATAATACATTTCCCATCATTTGGTATATAGGACAATATAAAACGTCGTTAATTAGGCCCTATGTCACAAGAGATCAAAAGGTTACGGTATCTTCCAATGATGAACATCGAATTTCACCCAAAATATATATTAAAACTTTTGATAATAGTTTTTCTTCCCCTTTAGAACTGAATTAACATGGATGAATGTTAATTGAAGTATAACATATATAAAAATACACATAGGCTTATTATAGATAAAATTGGGACATAGCTATATATATATATATATATATATATATATATATACACATATATATATATATATATATATATATATATGCATATATGAAGAAGACGTGTTCACGTGTGTTTCGAAACATATGTAGAATATAATAAAGCAGAGTAATGAAACTGAAATACGTAAGATTTTGACTTTAGAAACATTAATATTTATTTGGCCAATGTTTCGGCTACTCCTATAGTCTTTAACATAAAATGAACATATTGAGAAAGTTTCTTGGTAATATACAATGCGGTAAATAAGTCAAAAGCAAGTCGGCATACTATAAAGGATTAATAATATGTGTACAAATAAACAGTGATAAGGGTGAACAAAGAATGACCAAGTGGTGGAATGTGGGAAAGCATTATTATAGTTAATGCATGGAGGAATTAATTTATCTGTGGTTAATGGATAAGCAATGAGCAATATTATAAATTAAATAAATGTGGGCCTATAAAAGTATTGAAAGGCAAATAAAGAATAGTTATAATGATGGAAGCAGGAAGCCTATCAATGATATATATATATATATAAAATCAAACGAGTAGGTGGCTGCATCGGCTTCAATAAAATAGTAATAAAACGCATAAAGCAAAAGTGTAGAGTAGACGTAACTTTTAATGGTAAAAAACACAAACGTTTTCAGGCATCGCCCTTACCCGCATACATATACCCACACACACACACACACACATTGCTAGCCCATATCAATTAACCAAACTTTAATGCCGCCAGTTCAAAAACAGGTACCTATCTTTAATGTCGGTTTACAGGCACTGGCAACCAGAAATCGCTTGACTAACAAGGCATCTTGAAGCTTAGACATAAAGGAAACTAAAAAAAAATTATGACAGGTATAAAGCAGAGGGTGCACCTTTTCGGTTCCTGGGCCCTGGAATATTAGTATTTACATTATGCACAATGGCCTTCGCCTGGACAAAGTTAGAAAACGATCAAAGCACGAAAAGTTACAAAAGTGCAAAAACATAGGACGATGGGATAGAAGATGCAAACGTTTAATTTTATAACATTAATGCAAAAGTTCAATAGTTTTATAGCAAAATAAATATCTAAACCTGAATCTAGTTATCTTGAGCAAGATTTAATATGTCAATCCAGATATGTAAAAACCTTCAAGTGTAGTTTCTACTGAATCCAAAGAAGAAACTTTGTATCAATAAGGATAATGATGATTCATCTTGTCATCCAAATACCATGTCGGTATTCAAATAAAACAATGGCTAAACCTTCGTTCTCACACTACTTAAAAACAGAAAATACTTCATTGTGCTGTGAAACATGAACAGAAGCTTAACATTTGTTTTACTGATTCCACCTACTGTCACTTAATGGACTGGTGAAAGTTTTAGAACACTCTGATAATTTTGATCATTATTAAAGAACTTTAGAAAATGTCAAAAGTGAAAAAAGTAGTATTTTACAGTCTGATAAAAATTAACTCTTAATTACGTACTTTTCAACAATTCTAGTTGTGATGCCTAATAGTGGCGTGTTTGACTTAGGTCAAATGAGGCCGCTAAATATGCTGCAGCTAAAAACCACCCCACGAAGGACTTCTTTTTTTTGTTCGAAGAACGTTTCTTTAGCGTTGCAGTCTTGGTATTAATTCAGTGCCAAGAACCATTATTTTGGACGGAAAAAATAAACAGTGCCTTTTTGTGGGCGTTGTTTCTAATGCCACAAAGAACAGTTCTTCAGAACGGTTCTTTTTCGCTAGTAGAAAAATGCCAAAGATAGCAGACCAATTTATTATAGACAGTCTATTCAAATTTCGTTCTTTTTTTATATGGTTTTACATTTTTTATTGAAGGGTATGAAAGGTACCGCCTATCAGTATGCATTGGATGCGTACACCAACAAATTTAAAGAGGCGAATATTGTATATTTTCTATATTTTTCAAGTAATATTATTCTTAACGTAAACTTTACTATTTTGTTTAAAACCATATATCATAAAATATGTAATAACCAGCTTAGACGCACTAGTATTTTAAATACCAATGAACTAGTTGTATTAAAATGTACAAGCAAAAGAACGTTCTTGTCATTCACATTGCCACTGTTTGGTAGAAATATGAAACTTACCAGAAACCCGAAGACGAAATATATATCCATGAAGAAGCCTGGAAAGATGCTTTAGCTGCATATAGAAGAGCGAGTGTTGGAGAAATGCCTATGGCGGAGTGTCCAACTGTTAACTTAATGAGGGAAAAAAGAAATGAATACAGACAATTGAACAACCAGATAAAGGTGGGAGTATTCTCATTTTTAATAATTGATTTATTGGGACACACCTATTCAGGGGACAATGTTTCGTAAAACGAGGGAAATATATTTTAACACTACGGCAAAGCCCTAATAAAATTACTCCACTAATATGGGGACAGGGATACTTTCTAAGTGTCCCAAATGGTCAAATATGCCTATTGATAGTTAGTCTATGCATGCTAGTCAAATTTTACATTATTAAGGGGACACATTTTTGATCAAAACAACTACAGTAGAGTAGTCTCAAAGAATCCAAGAAATTAAAAAAAAAAAAAATAGAAATTCAACTTTTATATTTCGAAACCTTTTTAAAAAAGAGTTTATCATCTAACCATATTGTTTAATCTCAAAATCTACAATTGACATTTGTATTGGCCTAGTGCATAAATGTGTCAATTTCGACCATTAACAATGATAATACTTTTGTATATAATTCTAATCTACACACACATCCTAATATAAGTACAGCCTACACCCTGATTAATTTGTTACACTCTGCATGCTAGTCTGCTGTAACCTATGCACGTGCAATAGAAAACAGAAGCTCAATATTACAAAACTGGATATTTCACTTTTTGGTTCCTATTAGAGCCCCTATCTCAGGACCTGAGGGTAACCACTTATGGTATTTCCATTAATATTTTTTTGATTTGAGAATAGACATTGTGTTAATTGTTTGTTAGTTTTCATTTTCAGAGAACATAAAAATGAATTGATATTTTCTACTAAAAAATTAAAAAAATTAAAAAAAATAACTAAACCATTATCTGACATCAATAATAAAATGGAATAAAACACACACTCACACCCACACACACACACACACACACACACACACATTTATGCAATGTTATTTTCTATCATGTAGTGTAAGGCTTAAAACAATAATCGTTTGTTTTGTTTAAGGACAATGCTGACAAGAACAACAATGCAGCTCATAACAAAGCACTAACATTTTACAGAGATGGAATGCAAGATGTGAGATTTATTTTCATTATTGTTAATGTTATGTTACTATAATTTATTTAAATTGCAATAGACATTGTTTAGATATTCATTATTTTATATAATTATGGTTGCTTTAAGGCCAACTCAGACAGCGTCGTACGACGCAGCCCGACGCTATTTGTTGTCGCGTCGGGCCTGTGTGATTTAAACGCAGACGCGATGGTGTGCGTCGGTGGTAGTCGCGTCGTAAAATATTAAACATGTTTATTTTTTCTCACGACGACTTAATTAAGACTGTCCCCGACGATAAATCAGGTCGGGCTGCGTCGGCCGACGCTGTCTTAGTTATTCTTTAGATAACAGTACAATGTTGATATTTTGAACTTTAGTTAATTACCAGTGTGTTGTTGTTACAAATAGTTATTTTAAAATAATGCTTTATTTGGAAAATGTATACATAACAAAGGAATAATTCATAATTTATATTCGATTGTTACTATGAATAAGAGCTTGTTGCATTTTGTTTTTCAGGAATATGTAAATATTTTTGGCTTTGATGCAAGACATAGCAAATCTGAAAATACTGCACATAGTGTGTACGAACAAGCTGCTAATAAGGGATTTCAATCATATCAAATAAACAAGACAAGTTTAAGAAGTGGAATTGATGCTGTACATAGAGAATTGGCAAAGCAGAGAACTGTTGGTAACTGGCTTAAATCTTGGGTTGGAAAACAAAAATATGTTGTGATCCCTCATCATCTCCTTAAATAAGTTATCAAAAATACATAACAATACATGTATTTTAATATCACAACCAAAGTAGATGTACGTATTTCATTTATTGCTATCGTCTTTACTTAGACCATTAGTAGACATGGTAAGTTGTTGGAATATTTTAGTGTAACAGAATAGAAAAATAATATTTTAAACATTTTCCATATTAATTATCCGATGTGTGTAGTAATAAAACTTGTTAGTTTTCCATGTTATTACTTGCATAATGGTAGAGTACTTATAAGGATATTAATATCATTTAATTAATATTTTAGAAATGTTACTATTGGAAGATGGTAACTAAAATGATCAATATATTGAGAATCTTCTGGAAATATTGTGTTAAGATTTAGAAGTTTATCCCAGATGATAATTTAAAATTGTTTTGTATCAAAGACAAGAATACTTTTACTGTGAAAGTGGCTATTAGAAAAAAATCCAAATGTAAGAAATCATGCATAAGCCTAACTATTCTAAACATTTTAATAAAACTAATGATACTCTCTGATTTGGTGTGTTTTATGTCTGTTTGCAGTGTACTTATTACAATGAGCGAGTTCAATTTGAAGGAGGTCGGTATAGTGTCAGAATTTCTAACAGAAGACAAATTGATTTTGCAAAGATCTTCTATTTTAATTCACCTCCGTGCGTAGTAATTAAGGACAATAATTTTATGTTTTCGCTTATTTTACTTGCTTATGACACTTTTATTGTTAGTAATGAACATTAAATAAGACTAGCATAAAACATATGGCATTTTTACAAGTTCAATACTTAGACTGTATTATAACTAAAATGATCAATATTGGTTTAAGAGTTCTCTCCTTTTAATATTTTAAAATTATTACATTTGCATTCGATTTATATAGAATTATAACTTTAAGTGATCAGCTGCTAATGTTAACTATTAAATAAGAATTTTTGAAATGTAGAAAATGCTTATTAGAAAAATTTCAAATCAAAGATATCTTGCTTATGTACCGTACCTCCTTTTTGGTACTGTGTGTTCTCCACTTAATACTTTTGTGTGCATTTTGTTTTGTTGTTTGCATTGTACGTATACCCTTAAATAATTCAAATCGAAAGAGTTTAGCATCAGTGGCGGAGCCAGTGGGGGTGGGGTGGCAAGGAGAAAATATAAGTAGGCAAGCCTAGAACCGCCGTTGTTCAATGACACAACGAGGTGCATCAGACAAAACTATCAATTTTAATATCCAAATAACGTGATTTTGACTGTAAATCCATAATACTGTGGTTGAAAAGCACAATTCTGGGTCGAGTCATACTTACGAAACTCTCACACTATCACGACCTATATGCACTGCGATCACTATACGACTGACACCGACTAGTGTGAGAGCTACGAGCAACTTGGTCGTGTAGAAAAGAGGGTCGTCGATGGTCGCGGAGGCCTCAGGGGTAGAGGCTATCGTCACTGCCGCAGTGACAAAAAAAAAAGCTGTTTTCTACCGGCACTGCCGCAGTGCCATAAACGTGCTGTTTTCTATCGGCATTGCCGCAGTGCCAAAAAAAGCTCATGTTTTCTATTGGCACTGCTGCAGTGCCAAAAAAAAGCTTCTGTTTTCTATCGGCACTGCCGCAGTGCGGGAAAAATTGCAGTTTTCTATCGGCACTGCTGTAAAATCGAAATTGATGGTGGGATCGATAGCTAAATACAGTATAATTGATTAGGCACTATGATGAGAGAGAACTTCTTCATAGATAGGGCCTAGCCTACCCTAAGCCTAGCCTAAAGGGAAATCGTGTTTATTTAATTTTTCTTATTCTCAGTTGGACATCTCTTTCAGGAGGCACACATAGAAAAAAATATTAGATATCACTCTTTTTTTTTTTTTAATTGATGAGGGAGGGCGGGGTTTTTTTTTCATCAGACTGTTTATATTTGGTCTGTAATACTGCTCTCATCATAGTGCCTAATCAATTATACTGTATTTAGCTATCGATCCCACCATCAATTTCGATTTTACAGCAGTGCCGATAGAAAACTGCAATTTTTCCCGCACTGCGGCAGTGCCGATAGAAAACAGAAGCTTTTTTTTGGCACTGCAGCAGTGCCAATAGAAAACATGAGCTTTTTTTGGCACTGCGGCAATGCCGATAGAAAACAGCACATTTATGTCACTGCGGCAGTGCCGGTAGAAAACAGGACCTTATATCACTGCGGAATGTGCCGATAGAAGACAGCACCTATTTCGCACTACTGCGGCGTAGCGGCAGCGCCTGGAGAAAACAGCGGCTTTTTTGGCACTGCGGCAGTGCCGATAGAAAACAGTAGCTTTTTTCTGCACTGCGGCAGTGCCGATAGCCTCAGCCGTTTTCAAAACGTTGAAAAAAAGTGTTTCGGTATTGGTCGCCAGGTCCTACTTCCGGTCAGATACAACCGTAGGTCGGTACGGTCGCATTGTTAGATCGTACTCTCCCATGTACCCTACCAGGAATTGTTATTCTTGTTATTCCTGGACCGATCCTGACGATTGACCCCATCGGTTCGAATCCCGTTGGCAAATATTGAAGCCACTCATATTTAGCATGACTATCTTAAACTCTCCTCAAGTGTTAACCATAATATTATTATTTTACTTCCATAGAATATATTACTACTTGAAATTAAATACTATCATTATCATCAGTAAAATAGTGATTTTACAATTTCATTTACTGAATGATGGTGACTAACATGATCAATATTATTTCAATAAAGGACAAAGGTAAAATCAAATATGGCGTCACAATTGTCATCCTTGATTAAAGCTTAATTCACACTATATATTTTACGTGACAGATTTGTATGATGTGCCCATATGTAGGTGTTATGATGTCATATTAATCTCAAATAAGCTAATTCATTCCTCGCATACAATTGGATATCGTAGACAAACTGATTCTTTATACCTGTTCCCACTGAACATGACAAATGAAAGCGTCAAGCGACACGCAGCGACAAGCGAAGCGAATCTCATGAAAATCCCTTTGACTATTTAAAACACTCTCCTCATATGTGTTAACCATAATTATACAGAATAGTTTATTTGTGCCCACTGCAGCTGAGCGGGAGATTTTGAAATGGAGGGTGGCAACAGAGAAGATATGATGATACCGATTTTGTTATGGTACAATAACAGACGGAGAAGAGCTGTAAGGGAAAATCCGAAATGATGGGTGTGCCCACTTTTTCAAAAATTATTGAATGGGCAGTTTGATGTAACCTTCAATTTTCATTTCCTCTAGGAGAATTACCCACAGCTGTAATAGGATATGTCTTCGAAGTCAGGGCGTGGTTTAGGGAGGAAAGGGCCGCTCTGTTACATAGGCATACATAATGCAAATCAGAGCCCGGGAAGAGAGCCAGTCAATCAACTAATGAATGTACCTGTACGAATAGACGCCGACTTGTCAGTGGCAACGTTGAAAGAATATTTGTAAAAGATACGTTATCGCAAATCTTTTCGTTCATATTAGTGGAAAATGTGTCAGCGCTCGCACAAATTTTTCACAACAAAACTTTTTAGTTTTTTTAGCACAAATGTATTCGCCTAGTGGAAAACTCTGCCTTTAGAGATTGTACACCATCATTGTTGCCGTAGTTAATGACGTTGTCAAACTCCGTTTTTAGGGCAAAAAACATGATTTTAATAATTTTCTTATATCACAAAGTTTAATTCGAAAAGGCTGGTTTTTGGTACAAATCTGGAAAAAAATTGTTTTAGTGTTTATGCTGAGATAGAGTATTTTCTAAAGAAATATCAAATACCAACAGAGTTACGTATTTCTCTTGATTGTTTGAAAATTTTACCAAAACCGGCTTTTTTCAAGTTAAATCAATTATTTTTTTATGCTCAAACTATTAGAATTTTTTAAGAACATATTTTTTTGTGATTTATTATTGTCACTTTAGCTATCTTTTGCCACCTTTGAATAAGTGGAAAAATCGATGGCTTGGAAAAATAGGAAATATAAAACGTGTTTTTTGGGCAAAAAACGATTTTTTTTGTAATAATTTTTTCCTGGCCTTTTTATCTAGCTGCTGGACTATCAGAATTGAAAACATAACGACAAGATGTTTAGTATAGGTGTGTTCTGTCAGCTTTCGACACTACAGACCACAACATATTTCTGGATAAATTAGAACAGTATGGTATCAGAGGTATAGAACTAAAATGGTTTCGTAGCTACCTAAGTAAAAGAGAACAATATGTAAATATTGAGAACTGTAACTCTAAAATGTAAAATAAAATGTGGAGTACCACAAGGGTCAAGGCGCTCTGTTGTATATAATATTTATACGATAATACGATAATACTTTATTGCAATTTGATCTTATACAGCACAAATTGAAGTTAAGCATTATAAATTACCAAATAAGAATCTACAGAAAATAAAATATCGTATGCAATTAAAACATGAGGGACAAAGGGGGAAAGTGGAGAACAAACACCTAAGTAAATCACAATAAAAATCTATTATAATTATTAACATTAAATTCATTAATTTCTTTTCATTAAAATAATTATATTACAATAATTATCATTAAAATCTTATTCTAATTATTATTAATTATATTCTTTCCAATATTCAATTTAAATATAAAAAGACTAAGAATGATTCATAACAAAGGAAATGGGCAGTAACAGTTTAAAAAAGAAAAGCAATTGGGACACAAAACCGCAAATAAAAAAGAGAAAAAAGAAAACAGCGGGCCAAACTACTACTCGGCTGGCCAAGTATTGCACAAATTAGTTCAAAGTGGTCATATTATTATAATAATAATAATTATTATTATTATTATTATTATTAAGGTCATAAACGAGTCCTTTTTTTGAGTTTCACAAAAAGATTAAAGTCATTTATTGGAGAGTTTTAACAGCTGCTTAATGTTATTCCCGTCGTAAATACAAATACAAATAAATACATGCATGAGTGTTGTTTCTGGGGGTGCGTTGGATGTTTTTATGTTTTATATTTTGATTATGTTGATTTTGTGTTTTATTCTATGAAATATTTTATTGGTCGGTCTTTATTTGCTTGTATTTTCTTATTGTTCTTTGAAATTGTTTTTATGTTTTGGGTTGTAGAGGTTTTGGACGGGCACATTTTCGGATGACAGTATTATACTTTTGCCCATCCTCGGCAGCCCCAACTTTATGGTTTTTGTTTATTGTCGGAAGACTTAAATAAATTAAAAAAAAAAAAAAGCCCGTAGAGTTTTAAGAAAGTTAATTACTGTGTTCCCAGTTCACATGTCAAGCGCTATGAGCATTTTGTTTGATGGATAACAGAATACAAATCTACACTATTATTATTATTATTATTATTATTATTATTATTATTATTATTATTATTATTATTATTATTATTATTGTTATTATTATTATTATTATTATCATTATTATTATTATGTTTTTGTTGTTGTCGTTGTCGTTGTTGTTGT